TGGTCTGGCAGTGACTTAAAGCTCAGCACCTTTTTGTTGCGTTTGAATGCCATAAATAATATTGAGGGCCGGGAGACGTTTTGATGCTCTGCAGAATCACTTCTCACTATAACGAAAACAGTATCACAGCTGAGTGCGTACTTTTAAAATGGACCGTAAACTTTAATGTCTGGGGGCATGCTTTCATTGTGCTTACACCAACATATTACGAAAAGGTGTCACATCTTTGTCCTCATTTCATCCCCAAAATAAAACTTTGCAAAATGATTACTTTAGAAACCAGGTCGCCCGCTTCTATACACACCTGCAAGTTGGGATCCTTTCAACCATCTGGGAAAAGTATCTACAATTATTAAACCCCGGATACTGCTGTGAAAACTGAAACTGCAATGGCCATTTTGATTTTTTTTTTCTAATTCACAAATTCTTTCCACACCTTTGCACCTTCTGTCTCCACGTCTCGCCATCACTCAATCGATCGACCTCTCCTTGTTCCCTGTCTATTCAAATTTATGATCTGCATTTCTCTTCAAAGGTAGCAGCTGGAGCATGATACTCAAAAAAGTACCTCAAAATGGGGAGTACTTTGGGGTATTAGCACCCTTGGGTAATAGGTCATAGCGTGCTGCAAATTCTTATGTAATCAGATGTGCTATTGTGCAAGGTAGTGTACAGGGCTGAGCTATTTGTTCTGGCTATGGAAATATGTGACTATATGATATGGTTGGGGGTCTGTCACCTACTTGTTTTTATGGAAATATCACTGCTTTGACCAGAATGTTCCATAGCATGACATTAAACAGCTCTACCTTCAATTTATTATATTACAGGTGGATTCTTAGCTCAAAAATACCCAGAAAACAGGCATTCTGACCTTGAGCGGGGTCGCCTCTCCAAAAATCTGACCTGTAACTTGGTCTGGTTTGGTCTCCATAAAGATAGAAAAGTTTAATAGCAAACTGTGAAACATTCCAAACAAAGAAATAATATCCCTACTGAGAAAAGCACTTGACGGACCCTCCAAAAGAAAAGTTGGACCATTTGCCTTTAACTGTTGATTACCAAAATACTTGAATACTTCAGTTTTAGCTTCTGAATTGTTCTATGCCAAACAAAAGAATATGTGATTACGCTTCAAATTTGTAGATATGAGATGTGCAGTTCGTTTAGTTTAAAAAATTGTTTCTTGTTTTCATTACACCTTGTATAACCTCTCAGCAATTAAAAGCAAAACAATTATAACTAAATCCTGTTTAATGACAAAACAAAATCTCCACAGCTCAAGTCTTTCACCAAATCTGTCATGATTTCAAGTGCCTATCCAAAACATATTTGAGTGTTGCTAGGGTAAATATAATAATCTTTCACAGAATGTCTTGAGATAAAGGACTGTTACCAAATTGCATAAGAGTTAGGATACTTTGCTGTCCACACCCATCCAGTATTTTTCTTGATTTAAGTTTGATGAGAGAAACATGGACACCTGGAAGAAACCCATGGACTGAAAGTCTTATCGCCAATATGCAATCACTGTTAGGTTAGCATATATATATTTTCAGAAGGCAGGTTCATTTGTCTGTTCAAGCGAAACAGTGAAAAAGGCTTCGCGGCACCTCAGCCCGACCTCCACTAAATTCCCAATGCGTTGTTTGACTATTAATAAAACAATACAGCCACTTATCTAGAACAACTTTATGTAGACCTTTCCTTCTTGAATATCTCCTGCATCGCATGAATTTGTCCCATTATCTCCACAATGTTGGATCAGTACAAGCTGCAGAACATGTTTTTCTAAGGATAGACAGAAAAGGAGAGAAACAGCAGACTCGTCTTTAACACTGCCACTAAACTCAAGCCAAAACATAAACTACTTCCATATGAGATCCAACAGCACAGTGCACCCACTCCTGAATACCTGAATGTTAGCCGCACTTCAAATTAACATGGTCCATCTTTGTCATAACATGGCGTGAGGATTATTCTGCTTAAGTCATGTGTCTCAAGTTTGGTCTGGTCTTTCTTGTAGAGATTGGGATTTTACAAACAGGATCCAGACCATTTCAAACCCTTGTCTGTCGGCCAACTTACATCTGGCATGGCGGTACATTGAAAACATTCTGGGCGCAACATAAGAGTCCACATTATTTCTTTTCTTTTGGTATATTTTTATTAGACATTGGCACAGCTTTACAGCACACTCCTACTGTGTTATTAAAAGATTTGTCTGGATGACCTCCTGTGCACAATGCACCATTGTGACGTGGATTGTGAAATCCAAAAAAAAAAAAAAAAAAAAAGAATTGAGATGTTAGTTGTCAAGGCAAAGTAGTGTGGACAGCAATAATGGGCACAAGTGAAGGCCATCATTTGTTTTGTAATAATAAAGTCTCTATAATATACAACCTGAGAGTGATACATTTTTGTCACTTTTGCTGGGATGATGTGACAGATTCAGTTGGAGAAGCAGAAGCAGGACTTCGCACATCTCCTCTCTGGGCTTCAGATACATCGATCCTCTTCAGTGTGAAAGAGCAGTGGCTCTACCTGTTTTCACTCATGATCTACAGGTGTAGAGGGGAGCCACATGTGCTTCATGTGTGAACTAAACCCCAACATATTTGAACTTGTCCACTTGGGGCATAAAGAGGGCATTCTCCCTCAGCTCACAAATGTAACACATGAACTGTAGGTGCTGATTCTCATTCCAACTTGTTCACACTTCACACTTCACACTGTAAAATCTGCAGGTTAGTCTGTTGTATTAACAAAATATCAGTTATACTTCTTAATAATATAGGTGGTTTTAAAACACATATGAAACTCCAGTTTGGAAAGTAACTGGTATTTTTACATGTCCTTTGTGTCAGTGCCAATGCACCACACATTTCCAAACAATAAAGTAGCCTAGATCTACTGTACCAGACAAACGCTCCAGGCGGCTCTCATGGATCTGCTCAAATCCAAGCCTAATATTTCTGGCTTCAGAAATACACGTTGCAGCTAGCTTTATATTGATGAGCTAAATTTACTCACATTCCTTATAAAGCTGTGTCTCTAGAAAGCTTCTTGGCTTTCAGATTAATAAAGTGCAACATAGCTCTCAGTGGTTCACATAAGCTGCCGGAGGTTGCCATGGGAACAGGGCCATGGCATCTACAGCTGAGGTTAATGTTAGCATAGCATGCAGCTAATGTGCTTTTCTCCATGTAAAACAGTTGTCACCTTGTAAACATGCAGACACACTCATGGCTTTGTTTTCATTAGGGACCATCTTGAAATGATCAGCAGATGCAAACAACAAGGTGGAATAGACAAATGATGTAACAGTAAACTTTTATTTGTATCAACAAAACCAGATGGACTTTTCTGAGGGCTTGGGGATTAGTAACAATTATTTTGAATGTATAATTTGAATTATACATTAAATTGATAAATAATAAATTGAATTTGAATTTGCTGCTTCTTTTTTGAAAATGGGGAGCCCCATTGAAGTTGACCGACTGGTCTGTAAAACCATGTGTTTTGCAGATTCTGTTTCTGCTGCCATTCCAATGTATCAGACAGACAAAGTCAATATGGAAAAACATCAATGATTTTTACAACACAGAGCCAAAATACCCACCATATAAAGGTCAAGTTACAGTCTGCTAGCTCTAACAAACACGTCGTTGAAGCAGCCATTACTGTAAAACTTGTAATAATACTGTACTTCTTTGCAAAATCTATTAGCCTGATGTGATGTGAGCTGTAAAACCAGCGGGGAATGAGATCGATACAGTGTCCTTCTGGGCTCAAGGAGCCATTATGTCTATTTTCACAATGTTATTGTACCATATGGATCAAGAGGAACTGGTAATATGTCAAGCAAAAAATTATGTTTCAGAAAATGCTATGGGAAAAGTCATGTATTACCCTTCTTTAAAAAAAAGAAAAAAAAAAAAAGAAACAATAGCCAATGCATATTTCTAGATGTATTTTTACTTAAAATTATGTATATGCAAAACAATTGATAAATCCAGGCGATTTATGTGATATAGTGGACCAGGAGTTCCCAAGCTTTTCAGACGAGGACCCTCAATGCAACCATGCAACAGGCCCAAGACCCCCACCACAAAACGAAAATGGCTTGTAGGTTGCAAAATATTTTAAATCAGGTTTTCACAAAAGTTCTATTTTCAGGGCCCATTCACGAATATATGATTTGAATGAATGTCATAGTAAGATGGACATAATTGGCCTGGTATATGAAAAACATGTTGACGCAAAGATAACACTTAAAAAGACTTGCAATATAGCGGCGTGAGACTTGCAGCCCGAGAGCTGCAACCCGAGAGCTGCAGCAGGAGCGTGTCTCATATGATTGTGAGGGGAGGAGGTAGGATTCTAAGGAAAGGAGGTAGTCTCTGGGAAGAAGAGGTAGGGCCCCGTGGAGAGGAGGTAGGGTTCTATGAGGCAGAGGTAGGGTTTTGTGGGGAGGAGGTAGGATTCTGGGAGGAGGAGGTAGGGCCCTGGAAGGAGGAGGTAAGGCTCTGAGAGGCGGTAGGGCCTTGGGATTAAACGAGGTAACAGGAGCATGACAACATCCATAGAAATGTGATGGATAGGCAATATTCCACATTGTCTGAACCAGGAGTGGGCTGTGGACAGCCTTCAAAGTAAAAGATCAGGGGGAAGTAGATGGATTTCAAAGAATAAGAAACTGCACTGTTTTATTTCTCAAGTGTCAATAAATCCTGAACTCTGATGTAAGACATTTTGGGAAGATGATGCTGTTTCCTCAGGTCTAGTGTTTTGATACAGCCAAAACTATGTAATTCACATGGGGGAAGAACAGAGTAAAACACAGTAGGAATGTTATTATTCAGCTTGGATCAAGGGCACCAAGAGCCTTTTTGATGGAAGAAAAATACTGTGCAAAGTGATGGGTGCACAAAAACTTTTGATAATGGACAATATAGAGTTACAAAAATATACAAAAATATGTTGTAATTTTTTTAGACATTCTTTGAGTTGGATCTTATAATGCCTGATGCTTTTCAATCTTTTGTCAGGATCAGTGCGGCCAAGACAACCTTCTGACAATAGACGTGTAACCTACAACTCCTACTCCTATTCACAGCCAACAGGTACAAATACACACATACATCCAGAAAAGTATTTTTAGATTTTTTGTCTAAGCAGTTATGTAACATTATATAGCTACCAGTGCACTATTGTCTGTGGTTTATATAATGTTGCATGACTCATAACCATTTGATTTCCCTTAGTCCCCAAAAAGGCTGTAGACAAAACACAACTGTGCAGTCTTTAGCTCCCCTGAGAGAAGTCTGATTTTTAAATGACAGAAGCAGACCTCTAAACATGCACAACACATCAGCCTTGTCTGTTCAGCATGTAAGACTATTTTAAATAGTTTAATCCCCCCTTTCCTCCACAGCTTTTCTGCATTCCCAATTGGATAATTTCTCTCCTCTAGTTTTCCTGGCTTTTAAAACACAGTACTTTTCCTGTGAATGTGCGCACAGGCGTGACGGAGTGGACGTCCTGGTTTAACATCGATCATCCCGGGGGGAACGGAGACTATGAGCGTTTGGAGGCAATCCGCTTCTATTACAGAGAGAGGGTGTGTGCGCGTCCCACCGCCATGGAGGTGCGCACCACAGACTGGGTCTCAGCTGCAGATACTGGAGAAGTGGTGCACTCCAGTCTGGACAAGGGCTTCTGGTGCGTCAACAAGGAGCAGCCCCACGGGAGGATCTGCTCCAACTACCACGTCCGATTCCAATGTCCTCCAGGTAATCTCAATGAGGGGCATTCAGGCTCAGGCTGGCAACGTTCATTAGCAGGACACTATTAGCATACTAAACAATCAAAGTAGTGTTCATTGGTCAGGGCTGCTCCAAGCTCTCAGCATTTGTGAATAACTGGCGAATGTGGAGAAATTCACACATCCAAAGTGTCTGTTTGATTTTCTGCCTCTTTTTGGTTTGTGTTTTTGTGTTAATCGGATCCATTTGCTCAATTTTAGAGACATTTTTTCATAAAATCAAAACAATAGAGCCTTTAGAACAGTGCTGGACAAACAATAATTCATTCTCTACCCCTATATATATATATATATATATATATATATATATATATATATATATATATATATTTTTTTTTTTTTTTTTTTACCTGAAAATACTCATTTGAACTAGTATTGTGACCCATTAGTTAAAACATGCAATCAGAGTAATTTAATGCAGTCATACCACTTATTGCTACATTCTTATTCACAGTTCTGTATTTGTGCGTTCAGTGCAGAGTTACTGGTCTGATTGGAGTGAGTGGGGTCCTTGCTCCACCTCTGTGTGTAACGATGTGGGCATCCAGACCAGACACAGGAAGTGCCTGAGCAGCCAGCCCATGCCCTTGCTGCTGGTGCCCGCCTGTCAGGGGCACCACACGGACAGGCGCGAGTGCTCCACCCCTCCATGCACAGGTAGTACACAGTAGACTTAAGTGTATTCAGAGGTGACAGCATCCACACACAATGTTCAAACCGTTCCATCCAAGCTCAGACAAGTGCCTTTACTGTTGACTCATCCTTAACATTGCCTACAGTCTGTTTGAATGTGCTGAGTGAGTAAGTGGTGACCAGCAGAATCATATGCTTAGGTCAGCAGCCAATTTAGATTGTGTAGACTGGCAGCCTGCCCCAGGGCAGCTGAGGCTACTATGGCAGCTTATCACTACCAAGTGTAAATGAATAATGCATTAAATTACAAAGGCAATTGAGTAAAGAATAAACATCAGCTCATCAGTGCTGCATTGTTAGTAATCCAAACAGGGGCAGTTTGTACTTAATGTAAATTTATACAAACATTTAAGAGCAATTAGGCCTCTTTGTGCCTAACATCACAACATGTGTGCTGCTTTAAGCACCTTCTGCTTTCTTGGGATAATGAGAAAATTATCTCCAGATAATAATTAACAGAGGACTTAAAAATAAAGGCACTCCGTGGGTTTCTATACACCAGCACACCAGGGTGTTTTAATGAAATGTTCCTCTTTCTTCTTTAATTACTGAGCAGATGGGCAATACAGTAAATTGTCCCAACTCCAAACCAAGGCAGTTCATCCTCTCTTCATCTTCATCTCCTCTCTCTGGTTTATTACAACAGAACTGAATATTTCAAATATCTTGTGTGTGTCCCTTCTAAAACCATTACATTGTCTTTGTGTTCAGCCAAGTGGAGTCCATGGGGACGATGGGGAGCATGCTCAGTGTCCTGTGGAGGGGGGCGCCGGGTCAGGAGGAGAACCTGTGTGAAGAACTCACCCACAGTGCAATGTACTGGACGTCCTGCTGAAATGCAGAAGTGTGCAAAGAGCCCATGCCCAGGTACACAGAGAAAAGAGTACTGAAGAAAGGGATTGGAATTGTATTCACACACAAAACCAGCTCTGAATAAGGTTTTAAGACAAAACTCAACTGATCTGTGCCATTTTATAATAGCTGCACTTTGATTATCCTTAATAAAGCACAAACTAAGACTTGATTCACAACAATACAAATTTAAATAACAAATTTATTAAGAATTATTCAGACTTAGTGACTACTTAAATAAGGGGTTAGGGTTAGGAGGAGTTAGGGTATTAGATAAGTAGTTACCTGAGCCTAAATCTTTCTTAATAAACTAACTGTCTTTGTTCATGCTTTACCAAGACAAATTATTATAAATATTTATAAAGGTATTATAAAAGGTCAGAAAATACACATACATTATATATATGTTATATTCATATCTTTGCATCTTCTTTGTCCAAGTCAAATGTCAGATATCGTGCTCAGAGGGGCATCCCAATGAGGACTGCAGTCGCTGTGTGTGTGATGGTCATGTCCTGGATGGAGAGGTCCACAGTGTGACTGGGGTACCAGTGTCTGGAGCCTGGGTGGCCCTGCCCAGTCAGCCCAAAGTCATTCTGGCCCGCACCAACAACAAGGGGCACTTTAAACTACCTGGAGTGTGCTCTTCCAGCCCCACGATGGTCTCTATACGAAAAGAGAAGTTTGCACCAGTAACTGTCCTGTCTACCAGTAACACAACAGGACGGTCGTGGGTCAAAGCTGTGCTCAAAACTGCAGGTTTATCTCTTTTCTTTCTTAAAAATATATAGGATTACTATGTTATATGGTAAACTGGGTTATTTGCACAATGCACATGCAGTCACACGCACATTCGATGCAGGTAAGATTGGAGTGAAGTGTATTGCCCAAGGAAACAACAACAGCATTAACCATATGCAAATAATATGCTCCAAATTGCTCTCAAATCAAATCAGCCTCTGTTTAGTCTAACCCCAACTCAGGCTGATGCCAAGCAAAGCCAGGGTAGACGTATGAAGTTACCAAAGAAATCTATGAATAAATCCGGTTATTCCACCACAAACTCATTTCTAAATGTTTAGTCAAGATGTGTCCTATATCAGTATCATGGTAAAACAATTTTATTTGGAAATTAAGAAACATATTGTTGGCATTGGAGTATCCTTTTTCCCAGAGCCTTAGTAATAATTAGCCAAGAAATATTTCAGTCCTATCCTTGTAACAGGAAATGACAAGACTCAAGCATAAACAGTCCTGTCTATTGTATGACTTTGTGAAAACTATAATTACTATGTGGTTGCACGGAAACTGTATAAAAACATGAAAACCGTTCAAAGGCCAATCCCCCTAACAATCATTTTTTGTTTGCAAAGGGCCAATGCAAAAATAAAATGTGATGTTTGTGAGTTTTATGAGGTCTCTGAATACTGGAGTCCCATTCACAAGCGTGGTCATGACTTTGGCTATTTTTTCCATTTCATCAGAAAAGCCATATATTGTGAAGCACCCAGAGGACAAAGTGCGCTACGAGGGTGGACGGGTGCTGCTGTGCTGCAAGGCCACAGGATCACCAATGCCTGACAAATACTACTGGTGAGAAAAACAACCGTGTTTTAAAGGGCAAATATTACGCTATTTTCTGATTTATGTTATAATGTTGTTTCTTCATCAAAAACATATCTGGAGTTGTGTTTTGTTTCATTCACACATCTTTAACACACACAGCCTGCATATTTAGGCTGAGTCCTTCCCTCAAAAAGGAAACACCCTGCTCCACAGGAAGTGCTCCACTGAGTGTTTAAACTCCATACACCTTCAATAGATCATTTGGTAAAAGGTAAAGGTAATTTGAAAACTGCTTCATGATATTATAAGGTGGAGCAGAGCATTGTGAGCTTTGGAGATGTAGACAGAGTAATAATAAAGGATTACTCAAACATGTGTAAATGAAACAAAACGCAACTCCAGGTTTTTCAGGAGGTAACAACATTCTAACATGGCTTAAAATTCACAAGAATCCATTTTGTGTAATACAGGGCTTTTAATAGTGTCAGAGTCAATATTGAAAAACACCTCTTTCGTCTGGCTCTGTGCACATAAATCTGTGTGTCTATTGAGAGGAGACAGACTATTGAACTCAACATTGCTCTAAATCAAGTAACAAGTCTAAAGGCGTGGTATGATTTTGGCACTGACATATGCAAGTTGTCTTTTACCCAGGGAAATGCACCAAAAGTGATTATATTGTACCCAATGGCAAATCTGTCTGATTTATTTGATTCACTCTCTTTTTCTTGTGCAAAGTTCAGCTTCTGCCATGGGGGCGATATTGAGATTAATTTAACAGAAATATGCACAAGAAACAACAGAATTATTTTTGGTTGAGAGATTTTAAGACAGTGACTCAGACTTTCAGAACTCCTGTTTATGGAATTAAAGCATTTCTTCACTGGCAGCTCCTTTGTTGTTCAGATTCAGTAACCACAACAATGAAACATTTCTGTCAGATGTTGATGCACAATCTTTAAACCAAAAACCACCTCATCTAATGCAGTGGTTGATGTAGCAGATAAAAAAAATAAAAAATAAAATAAAAAAACAACTGTAGAATGGGCAAATGTAAAATCACCTGACTGCTCCAAAATTATGGATTTGTCTCAAAATGAAATGTAAAAGTGACTGTGTACTAGAACATGAGTGCATAGTATTACATATGTTCATCTTGACACATTTAGCTATTTTTGTATCTCTCTGCTTAAAGCAACACCTCAATCTTTAATAAAGACTTTATTTCTTGTCTAGGTACCACAATGGGACTCTACTCGACAGAAAGGTGTACAAGTACGAGGAGGATTTGGTGTTACGAGATCTGAAGCCGGAGCAGTCTGGGCACTATTACTGCAAAACCAGCAGCTCTGCAGGCAGCATCAAGTCCTCGCCTGCCCTCCTCACTGTCATTGGTAAGTGTACACAATCATGGAAAGCAAAGTGTTAAATATTTTTTTTAGAAATATCATGAAGAAATACAATAAGATGACAGGAAAATCAGTCTTCATCAGCAGCAGGAGAAATGATTCATGATGAAAGCGATCAGATTAGCTCAGAATGGTGGTTAGCCTGTGTGACAGTGATGTATTCCATCAAAGTTTTATGATTATTTAAAATCACTATAAAAATAAAATATAAATACATTTTAAACTTCAACTTAACTATAAAAAGCAGCTGCCTTAAAATGAACTTACAGAAATGTCAGCTTTAAGATTGAGCCAACCCATCCACAAACCACATTGATGCATTCATACAATGTCCCAGTGTCCACACTTGGATAGAGAAATCAGAAGTCACTTAATCATTTGCTAAAGGAAAATGAAATTATATATATTACGTACTGAAAGAAAATATTACAGTCTTAGAGCAAGGTTTTATGATGTCGACATTGGTTAGGTCTGTGCCCTTCTAAATAGGGATGCATTATTGTGTGGGATGGCTTGGATACGCCAACTCAATTTCCCCAGAACACCCGGTGCAGAGGTGAAATTTGAGATAGTCAATAAATAATGTGTCTTTTTTGCTTCTAGACAGACAAGAATACATTTCCATGTCTAAATGGGAAAACTATATATTCCACAAATCCTCCAGATGCTGGTTAGCTATGGGACATTAATAAATAAGGCTTTCATGGAAGAGAGCAAACGCTACAAATGAATCGTATGTTGAATATTCAGGGTCTTGTTAGTGTGTTCGTTTTCATTTGTTTTCACAAGTACATTTGTTAATTTTTTTTTTACATTCACCTTTTTTACATTCAAGTACATTTACACAAACAGATGTTTGTTCACAATTGTCACACACAATAAAATGTGTTTTGATTTTGCTTAATATAGGGAAGCACAAGCTAGAGTTATAAAATATTCTGGTTTCGAGCAATTAGTCAAGCATATGAACAGTATAAATTATTTAATGCAATTTGACTATTTTGAATGGATAATCTGTTGTACCTCCAGCTCTTGTGAGGCATAAAATAGAAGGTCAAACCTTAACCTCCTGTTTGTAATTCACAGCCAAAGGGTCACCCGCCTGTAACTCCACCCCTGAGCCACACCTCATCAGGATGCCAGTGGACTGTGTTCAGCCTGGGACAGACTCCATGTTCTTCAACGCCGGCCGCTGCCCTCACAACAAATGTGCTGGATCCTTAGACTATGATCTCCGCTGCAGAGATGGAGCAGGCTTCTGTTGTGCTGTCCAGACTATGGAGACTCGCACCATCGACTGTGGCAGCTACAAACTTCCAATCAAAGCAGTCACCCAGTGCATCTGTCAGAAATGTGTAGAACCCACAGTACTAGTCAGGGGCAGAGTGGTCTCGGCCGACAATAATGAACCTTTAAGATTTGGTCACATCTACATTGGAAAGGAAAGGGTTGGCACTACTGGCTTTCAAGGTGACTTTACATTACAAATTACTCCAGACACACAGAGATTAGTCGTAAACTTTGTTGATCCCAGTCAAAAGTTTATTGACAGTCCAAAAGTTTTCATTTTTGACAAGAAGGGAGGATCCATTTATCATGATGTCAGAGTGATGAGAAAGCAAGAGCCTATTGATCTGAATGCAGGAGAAAGCAATACTATTAACTTAGGAGAAATTAAAGGAGAAGACCCTATAGGCCAGTTAGTTATCCCTGCCAACTCTTTCCACAAGGACAATGGGGAGGTGTATGAAGGCACAGTGAAAGCCAGTGTCACATTTATTGATCCAAGAAACATCACGACAGCAGCTGCCACTCCGGGCGACCTCAACTTTGTCAGTGATGATGGTGACATGCTACCCTTGAGAACTTACGGCATGTTTTCGGTTGATTTCCGAGACGAGAGCAATAAAGACATCCTGGGAGCAGGGGGTGTACAAGTACTTCTCGACACACAACATGTCAAAATGCAAGAGCACATTCCCAAAATGAAACTGTGGTCCTTGAATCCAGAGACAGGAGTTTGGGAGGAAGAGGGAGACTTTTCATATACCACCACTACTTCTGGACGGAACAAGCGAGAGGAACGTACTTTTCTAATTGGCAACATGGAGATCAGGGAACGTAGACTTTTTAATCTGGACGTGCCAGAAAATAGAAGATGCTATGTCAAAGTGAGGGCATATATGAGTGACAAGTTCCTCCAGAGTGAGCAATTGGAAGGGGTTGTGATCAGCCTGATAAACTTGGAGCCAAAACCTGGATTCTCCTCTAACCCTCGGGCATGGGGACGGTTTGATAGTGTCATAACTGGACCTAATGGGGCCTGCTTACCAGCGTTCTGCGATGCACGGACACCTGATGCCTACACTGCATATGTGACAGCCATGATGGGAGGAGAGGAGCTAGAAGCAGCCCCCTCATCTCCGAAAATGAATCCAAACATCATTGGAGTGTCCCAACCTTATCTGGATAAGTTAAACTACCAGCGTACAGACCATGACGATCCTGCACTGAAGAAAACAGCCTTTAAAATCAACCTGGCAAAACCCAACCCAAATAATTTTGATGAGACCAATGGACCAATTTATCCATACCAGAGTATGTTAGCTTGTGAGAATGCACCTTTTGATGCAAATCATTTCAGATTCTTTAGAGTGGAAAAGGACAAGTATGAATACAATGTTGTTCCATTTGAAGAGAATGATCTAACTACTTGGACTGGGGATTACCTATCATGGTGGCCAAATCCTCAGGAGTTCAGAGCTTGCTATATCAAGGTCAGGATTAATGGACAAAAGGAAGTAATGGTCCGATCAAGAAATTTTGGAGGGACACACAGGGAAACTACAGGCAAGCTTTATGGCATTAGAGATATTCGGAGCACCAGGGACATGCGGGAGGCCAACACATCAGCTGCATGTGTTGAATTCAAATGTAGTGGGATGCTGTTTGACCAGGCAGCGGTGGATAGATCTCTCATAACGGTGCTTCCTCAAGGCAACTGCCGAAGAACCCTCACCAACAGTCTCCTGCAAGAGTATCTGATCAAGCACCCACCAACTGCCCCAAACAATGAAACTCATGGATTCACTATGCTAGCCCCTGTGGACCCTCTCGGACACAACTATGGCATCTACACCGTCACAGACCAAAATCCAAGAGTGGCCAAAGAGATTGCTATTGGGCGCTGCTTTGATGGCACTTCAGATGGCTTTTCTAGGGAGATGAAAGCTGATGCAGGAATAGCACTGACTTTCCACTGTCCGGAGAGGAAACTTAACAGAGAGAGTCTGTTCCAGCGATTGCAGACCAATCCAGGCCAAACACTGGCACAGATGGCCCGAGACATGAGGGAGATGGAGGGGGTGCAGGTGCAGAGGTCCCGAGTAGTGGCCTACCCCTCAGAGCAACAGGGCAGGACCCAGAGCCGCAGAGTCACCTCCACAACCCGCAGAAGGATGAATATTCGTGCTTCACAAGGGCAGTAAATACTGTGTTATGGGTACGTTTGCTCATTGACTATATTTTTGTGAGTAAAGATTTTGATTATTGAGTTATGACCTTTCTTTTTTATTGTTCCCAGGTGCCAAATCAAGAGGTATTAATGAAGAGATAATTTAATGAGCATGAACTATTTTTGACAACCACAAACCAAGACTCACCATGTTTAAGACTGGAGTTGAACTCCTATACTTGAATCTTTCTCCAATGGCTTGCGCTTATATATGCAATACAGACAATGCTATTCATGTAGTCATTTTTCTTCACAAAAGGAAAGTATTTTTATTTAATTAAAATTTTTCCCCTTAAGTAAAGTCAGTCCATGACAGTCCATTTACAGATCACAAATCAATACTTCAAAGAACAAATAAGCCAACAACTTTGGAGCCTCTTAATTAGAGAGGTTTTCCCAACAGTCTTGTCCTGAACAACACGCCCAGAGAACTGGGGATGTTTTCGCAAACTTGTTTATTATTGCGCAGTATTACCCTCTGCAACTCAGCCAAACATCGCTCCACATCTCCGCCCAATGTGCCAAGACCAAGACTTTCGCCAACAGGAGCATGATTCACACTTAAAAAGAAATGATTTTCAATATGACATAATTTCCACTCCTCTACACATTCCCAATTAGCAATGTTTCAATTATGTTGCAGAATGCCTCACTTTCTTCAAAACATTTACAGGGACTGTTTCAGAATGTAAATATACTCTTTTCTAGTGCAATAATATTAATTAATATTAATTTGACTGGAAATCTCCTGAACTTTTCCTTAATGGCCAGCCTTTACAGCAGATGAAAGGTACAACTTGTGAATCGTCAAATCAGATTTTTAATGCTTTGTAAGCAACATGAGTGTTAATTTTTATTATTTTAGTTTTTAGCTTAATTTTTTACCTTTTTTTTTTTTTTTTCTAAATATCAACAGTTACCATAAATAACATTCTGGCATATGCTGCTCCATCAGTGTTTCATTAGGTGTATAATATTTTTATGTGTTCCATCCATGGTTCAAGAGCTTCAGCAAAGATATTTTCTGTGCAAAATGTCAAAAAGCATATACATTTTTTTCAGTGCTTATGGCATAATATAGGTCTGAAACCAAATAAGTTTTGTGATGCCACTTGCAGTTGTTTATCTGCAAAAATAGCCACTTTCAGACCCCTGGGAGAAACTCTTCAAGCTGAACTAATCCAAAAGCCAAATGAGGTTGACCATGGTCCATGGAGAGACCACAAGCAGCTGACAAGTAAATATAAGCTTGCAGTTAATTAGAAAATAAATGTCACAATCTCTGGAGTGCTATTAGAAGTGACACAAACATGTTAATTTTGTACCAAGACCGAAGAGAACTGGGTGCAACTTTGCCCCATTGCTTCCTATCCTTTGTACAGTCCAATCAGTACAGCAATATTATCATTTTAAATGTATGCATATGCTTCATTGTTCAGTTCACAAAATCCTTATTTAAGATAAGAGAACCATGCATCCTGGTTTGAGCCCTCTATGGATGGCATTTTTGTTGCACTTTGAAGAACACTTCAGAGAGAAAAAAAGTGACAAGTTCTGACCCCTAAACCATTACCCATAACCCTTTTAATCATGGGCATTCGAATGCATATAATTCAGTTGTCCAGATGAAAATAACATGCCTTCAGGCCTATTGCTTTGAGTGAAAAGGTGATTGAATCCACGTGTAGCATGAGATAAGTCCCATTATGGAAGCAGTGCCATGTGAGGTGAGCTGAGGAGGCTGGACAGCTGTGAAGCAACTGGGAGGAAGTGTACAAGCAAAAACAAGCTTGGGCACTGATGGTTTTAATCAATTTAAGCCATGGTTTGATCAATTATTAAGGTAAAATGTAGGAAAATATTAGTTGGTTGGCGGTCAATCACTGAGTCATGGAGTGAGCGTTTGCACATGGAAGAATGCAGTTTTGCTTTCACAGAAGATTTGGCTCATCATGAAATTATCAGGGGATTTTGAAGGACAAGGTAACAATAACAGTATGAGCAAAGTGTTATGTAATCTTTGCATGGGAAAGAAGTGGGGCTCATTCTGAACAGTTACTCTGTCATCTGGGGAACCTCAAACAAGATTTTGGTGATGCTTGGTTTAATGATTTATGAAGGAGCTCCCAGTCCTTTCAAACAAGGAAAGGGATTTGAAGAGTTAAATGACATGAAATATTTCTCATGTCTTTTTCCTGCATATTTATAACTTCAAGTGTCTATAAACAAATACATAAATGCTGCAGTGAACATCCGACTTGTGAGGATGACATTCCAAGAACATAAGGAACTATTCTCAGAGGAACCTTGTTATGAGTGATTACATTTTGAACTAAAGCCTAAGTGTGTGGTTAGAGATAAATTGTGAAGTCATATATGCAATGAAGCCATTTTGACTGTTTAAAAAAAATCAACTTTGAAATGAAGTAACACATTATAAAATCATTTTAGTCTAAATATGCCAGAAATGTGTTATATTTTCCATCTACAAAAGACACAAGCTTGTGCTCATGACATGTTTTACAAAACTCATTGTGTGTGCATCTTTTGTGCATTCATGTCACTTCAGGAATTAGCCCTGTAAACACCATTTCTGATTCTGTATAGGAAACAATATTCATTCATTACATTCATTAAAACTAGTCTAATGCATTTTCTCATCTGTGCTCTCAGGGAGATAATAACTGCTAACTTATTCAAGAGGTCATTCTTAAACTTCCTGGAGTGTCCACAGAGTTGTATATTTACCACTATGCTCCAGGAAACCACCCTGAACAATTACATAATCTAAATCGGACAACCTTGAAGTAGCCTGGAGTATTGCACATTGATGCCAGTCCTTCTGTTTCTGCCTGAGTTGTGGTTTTGTAAATTGTGTATTGTATGAAAAACTATAATTGTATGGACAAGGTGTGTAAATAAACAAATGACTTGATATAAACTTAAAATTTAGTTTTTGATATTTGTATATTATTGACATAACACATAAAACAGTGGTTGCCATAGAAATGTACAATTCCTCCAAAGCATTCAAAAGTCATAAAATTGACCAATTGTTAACGTGCAGATAAAATAAGAAGGTGAACACAGTTCTGAATAGCCAAATCTATATTTGTAAGATATTTAGTTTGAAAATGCTACAACCCCGTGATTATTACCGTACCTCAGGTGGTGAGTACCATGCCATGCAGTCTTACAGATGTGAGGAGAGTTGCTTTGTCTTAATACTGTAATAAACCTACACAGCAGGGACGGAGACAGACGAGTGTTGAAGCAGCACGTCAGTGACACCACAAGGAGCACCCTCAGTCTCTGCCAGAAAATTAGCTCCAGCTTGAAGGAAGAGAGTGACTGCCTTTTAGACTAAGGGAAAAAGAGTCAGTAAACATAAAAAACCCTCAATGGTGCAGTTCAGGACATGGACTTTCCTGCTTTACTTTATTAACTTATTGGACATGTAACAGGAAAAAATAACTACTGTATACATACCTGAGAAACAAGAAAAGTGACGAGTGGACAACACCCAGAAAGTAAACCAAGTATTTTTCAAACGTTATTTGTGTTATAACATAACTTTTATCCCAAATTGCAACCGAACTGTTGTATTTTTTTTTTTTATTAAACATTAAAAAGACTTGGAAACATTTTGGCACAGTTAGATAATAGCATTAGCCTCATTGCACTGTAATATACATACTTGTAAACATAGGCATATCGACGCAGTTACTGACAACTAAGGTAAGAACACATAATTCATTTCAGAGTGACATATTAGCAAATATTTAATGTCATAAAGAATAATCTACTCTATAAACAGGTACCATACAATACCATTTGTATTGTACTTTTGGACGGTAGGTAAAAAGGATAAATAGAAATCCACTTAAACCAACAACAATGTCAGCTTTCCCTTTGAAAAAAAACAACAAAACTATACTTTTATAACAATACAATATTATAAATATTCGAGACAGTCGGGGCTAGTTAGGAGGTGCATGTTTTTCTCATGGTCAGATTAGGTGACGGTACAGAGACACAGGTGTTTGCGATCCTGGTCCAAGGTTCAATTCTCCGAGTGCTTGGGGTGTTTACATTTTGTCATTGACATCCATTATGTTAACATGACCTCCATGTTATTTTACTTTTAGTGCAATAAGTCACATGCTCTGGCTTGGAGGACTATCATGTCCTCCACAGACAGTCGTGTGACATCATCCTGAGTAATCAAGAGAGGAAATGTTCTGTAGCAGATAAGGCTCAAGAATGCATTGGTTCTTCTAGATTTGTTGGAAAAAAACACAAAAAGTCCATAGCTACAGACATGGTGTTCATCTGGGAGTGCATGTGCAGGTTGAAATGCCACTGGTATTTATCTCCTCTGATCCGCAGGAAAAGGCTGCAAGGAGAGCTCACTGGCGTGCTTCACATACACATTCCCATCCTCAAGCTTCACTTCATACACTTGTTGCTAAAACCATACAACAGACAGAAATGGTTACAGTTCATTATTAGGAACTACACATGCAATGCTTCTTTGTTAAACTGCAACTTGTTAACTGAGAACACGAGAATTGGTAGATGGTAGATACATGCTATACATTTTGTATAATACTAATCTGTACAGTAAAACTATTGTCTCTGACTGGCATTACTATAACTACTTCTACTTACAATAATGTTACAAGAACACGGCACAGATGATAGACCTTTCAAACACTGTATCCTTTTTGCTAGAGAATTTTGTTCTGCATTTCCATTCTTCCCTGCAAAACTAACCTGTAAGGATGTCCCAGATCTGCCGGTCCTGAGATCAAAGTCGTAGTCATGCCAAGGGCAGAACACCTTCAGAGCCCCGTCCGCCTCCTCTATGTCCCCATCACAGAGGGGGCCACCTGAGGACGCAGCATCATCACGTGAGCATAACAGAGGAGGCGAACACTACACATTTGTGTTGCTATGTCATTTTTATTAGCAGTGGTGATGGGATCATGTGTAGCAGCACAGCTGTAGCCTACGTCACGATGTAAGCCGAGGCTAGGCTAACAGTGTTAACATGTCAACTCGTGGCTTTTGCCTTTACCGGAGTGTGCACAGCGAGCATCCATGGCAAAAAACTCCCCTTTGACGTAGAAAAGGCACACGTCTGCGTGGTAGCCGAGAGAGGAGTGCATGAGTCGGCAGTGCTTCTTGGTAAGCTCCGCGGCTGGGCCTATGAGCCTCCATGAACCGCCCCTCGTCTTCTCCTCCTCGTCATCTCCCGAGCCAGAAGCCATAAAGGACGCCGAAAAGAACTGCTTTTCTAATTTGTGCTAGAACAGATTGCCATTTTTCCGACGGTAAAAAGAGAGTAGGCATTTCGCTTTGTGAAAACATTCCATATTAAGTGGCCCGGTTCACTGGACAGAGCGCACGGAGCGGGGCGCTGCACTGGGGCTCTGCACTGTGCGCGACGCCTGCATCCAGCTGCTGCTGGAGCCTCTGCTGGGGGGATGAGGTGCAAATAAACAACTTGCAAAATCTTATAATCGCACGGAAAAACACAGTCCTAACAAAGTCAAATACAGAAATTAAGTAAAAATAAACTTAAAAGTTCATTTAAATAGCGTGCATCTAGGGTAAAAAGATTTGTTAGCTTACTTTAACCTCGCACGTCAGTGCTATTTTCATTGAACAATAGTCTTACAGACTATGTCCTGCTTTGAACTTGATCTGCCCTGAGTTTGCTCTATGGCACTAAGGGCCTAGATGAGCCATTCATAATCATGATCAGTCTTCCTTCAGCTGTTTCACTTAGCGTGTCTGAGCTGCTGGCTGATAATTCTCCAGTGGCCTAACAAAGGCAAAGTTACTGTCCTGATGGGAGTGATGCATAACAGCGGTGCCTTGTCCTGACTTTGGAGCTGCACAATATTTGTAGGCCTATCTCAGTGCAGCAGAGCATAGGTATAAGATGTCCCTCAAGTACAACGCATCATTTCTTCACTTGGAAATAGACACAGCCAATGTAAAGAAAGCAGGGCAATTAATTTTCTGACAGATTTTGTGCTGAACTAAATCAAGCTTAAGTGGATACCCTGAGTCATGACTCTCCTTTGAATTCACAGACTCGGCCTGTTGCACAAGTTGTTTGAACTCAACATCTGAAGTTTTCATTAAGGCCTTGAATCCCTGAGTTTCCTTTGGTCACTTAGGTGGTTATGAAAAGGGTGATACTTGACTTGAACCTGATTTCAGCAGATTTGAAAAGGACAGAGAGCAGGTGTGAGGTGACCCGTAGCTCAGCTCTTACATGGCAAAGAAAGTGAGAAATCCTCTCCTCTGAGAGCTATTAGACAATTGAAATGATTTTTGAAAGAGAGGAAAGAGAAAAAAATGAAATCAAAATGATGTAGTGTGGAAAATATGAATAAGCAGGCAGGAAGGGAACAATAAACAATGCTGAAAATGTGCATAGCAGTCCAAAAGATCACAGGAGTACCACCACTGTCCATAAATCCATTATTGTAACCAATGAACATGGAGGACTTGCATACATGGGGCAAAATGTGTTGTAGAGTGTGTCTGGCCTGGATAAGGTTTTTGACTGAAAGCAGAGCCCATTAACATCCATCACTGTAGTCTCATGTTGTCCACAGCGCAGCAACCACCCTCAAACTCTCCCTACTCATCTGCCAAACGTGGACCCCTGCCAGATCCACACAACATGCTTTTCATTAGCAAAGCAAATGCTCCAGCCAACATGGAGACACCATACCTGTGTGAGGGCTTTAGTGTCTTGTTTCGTGTTAGAGCTATACATGGTGAACTGCAGGCTGCACATGTCCTCTGCCCATTGGCACAGTAATAAAAGTCAACTCAGCACCGCCTGGAATGTGCTTCCGCTTTAAAGGTAAATCCAACATGTGTACGTGCATACAGGCATTGGGTTATTTGTGTTATTGTTTAAATAAATCCACACAAGCCATATGAGATTTGTGTGGGCCCCAATCTAAATGGATTAAGAAAGGATTTTGTTTGGGAGAGTGACTGCCAGATTTAACATGCAAATATTGTCTTAAGACATTTGTTTAACTGAATGTTCCTATAGTAATTTAATTTATTAAAAAAATAGACTTGACAATTCCATGGAATTAAAGGGCCCATATTACACTATTTTGTGATCTATGTTATAATGTTTCCTCCTCAAAGACATACCTGGAGTTGTGTTTTGTCTCCTTCACAAAAATCCTGCATATGTAGGCTGAGTTTTTTTTCTTTTTTGTGCTTTTAAACTCCATGCACCTTCAATAAAATCATGGATAATTTCAGCCCTGGATCTACCATTCTCTACTCAACAAAAGGTAAAATGTAGCTGTTAACTTGAAAACTACCACTTCATGACATCACAAGGTGGAACAGAGCATTTTGAGCTTTGGAGATGTAGACACACTAATAATAAAGAGTTGGTCAAACTTGTGTAAATGAAACAAAACACAATTCCAGGTATGTTTTTGAAGAAATAACTGAGCTTAAAGCTCACAAGAAACCATTTTGTGTAATATAGGACCCGAATTCTTACCTGAATATATATATAACTGAATTCTTACAGCGACTGAATTTATTAAAATATTAGACTTGAGGGCTCCAAGGTATTATGTGATTTATTTGCAGATGTGATGTGCATTATTGACTCAACACTGTATGTAATAAATTATGACATTTATTTAATACAGTGACAACACACCCTTATGGGAATTTTATACAAGACAAATTGGACACATACCTTCCATCATCTCTGATCCAAATCCATCTTTGAAGTTCAGAGGACAGAAGGCAGGCAGGTCCCAAAGCCTGGTCCTCAATGAGTCCCCAAGGCCCAGCTTTGTCCCTCTGTGAAAACGATAAGTAGTTCAGGGGCCAGTTAGGGGCAGTTTCTGCACACTTTATACCAGCGGTGCTGACTTAGCTTCAGGGAAATGTCTATCCAACACATTATGTCCCTAAAGTTCAAAATGCGGACTATGTGGAATGTCTGAAATTGTCCAGATCAAATAGAGCACTCTGAACCACTGCTATATTCAGTTGCTACTGTAATGTAGGCACAACCCAAATGCAGCATTTTAGCATCTGGTTCTATCAAAATCACATTGGGCCACAGCATCCCATTTTTATTAAAGCAAATAAATAACTCCAGAGTGCTGAAAACTGGTAGCGTTATTTATGGACCCATGATGAAAAATGAACAAAATAGGATGACTTATTCAGATTTGCAAAGATTAATGGCATCAAGCACACATTTTATTACAACCTGATGTTTTAAATCTGGCCTATTATGCTAATTACACAAGGTTTCTGAATTTCTGAGTTCAAGCTGGTGCCAGTAGGCCTACATTTAAACTATATCATTAGTTACACAATTTAAGAAGAGCTTATACTTGCGAGTCATTTTGAGAGGTTTTTAATACATTTGAAAGTACATATAATAAAGAATAACATTTTGAAATTATGCAGATATCCAATATGTACATCTTTATACATTTATAGATTTTGCTGCCGTGAAAACTGTGATTCAGATGTATTCTTCACTCTCTATAAGCAAGCAATTATTTACTGCATTTACGTATTTCACACCTTACAGAGGCCAGAGTGGAGTTTTGCTATTATGTAACTATAACAACAAGTAGCATACTACCATCATACTAATCTTACTTCCTGGTCTGCAGGTGATAAAAACGCTTTATAGTTAGAAGCAGACGGCACACTCATTTTGACCTTTTACAATATATCTGTACTGAGGCAAGACCATTTTTACTTTATTAGGCTACATAAAATAATCAATCTCATAAAAGTAAAACATGTTGTGATCCTGTGGATGCCTAAGAAAATGACTGTCTTTTAAATGCTCAGTTGTGTTTACGAGGGCATAAGAGTGTGTGGAAAACAGCACCATACAGTATCCCTGTGTGCACCTCGCAGGCCTGTAAACCCTCTCAGGGTTTGGCTGTTATACGACCATGTAGAGCAATAATACACGCTCTAATGACACAGCATGGGCTGCTCACACCATTACGACCTGCAGCATTTCACTTTTGGACACAGCTGCTCTAGACTGAAGGCATCATTTGGTTTAACTAAACACTAGTCTACCCAAGGGACTTGGAAAGGTCGAAAGACAAGATGTTTCATTGGACAGAAGTTTGGTTGGAATTTAGGAAACTTGCAATAAACAAAGAGAAACGCCATCCTGGTAACATGGCAGCAATGTTTCTACACTGTTTTGGCTAATTTGTTTAATGACTAGTTTACTTGGTCTCTGAACTGTCATTAAACTATGACAAATATTTTAAACATGTTAAGCATAACTCATATTAAAGACTTGCTTTTAATGTTTGAACAGAGGCCTACATGTTAATCTAACTACAAAATATGCTGCTGTAAAATGCTTTCATTTTTCTACAAATCAAAAAACAAAACAAAAAAACAACTTGTTTTTATATCAAACAGTTCAAAGGAGTTTTTGTAAGTACAAGGTTAGGGTATGGAGCTATTGAGTCACTGTCTACAAAAAGCACAGGTTGGGCTCATGTTGTCCACCTACATTCGTGTCTGCTGGAGAGATGGACATTCCTCCTGCTGTAGACACAATACATCTTGTTCTTCTGGGCTCCTGGTTCAGAGCGCCGGACAAAGAGTGATTTCATCAGAGGAAAATGCAGACAGGATGATGGTTTTAGAGAGTGCACATGCTGTAGAAATTGGGATTTATTGACAGAATTCTGCATGAAATGTCACTTCTTTTTTTCTGAATTAGTCAGTGGGCATAATATGTCTACATGAGATCTTGCCAATAATTCATCAAGCAAACAGCTGATTAAAGTCACCCCCTGCTCACCTCTGACTTGACTGAAATAACACACAGACTTTTGATGATGCTGTTTCTTCTGGATAATCAACCAGATTTGACCTGAAGGCCTACTTTATTAACCATGGGTGGATTTGCAAAATTATCTTTGGCAAAAGTACTTTACATATAACAGTATGGGTGTTTCATTTTCCAGGTTCTGTTGTGGGTACAATTGTCGCTGTACACAGCTAATACGTCACACCCACATATTTTGTAAACACAAGGAGACATGTTTGATCCAGGAATCCAACCCCAGACCTTGTTGTGAATCATGGGTCTTCCTCATTGTACCACTGTGAGATAAATGAGTCACAGTAATATGGAAAGGCCTGTGGAGTGCATGTCACCTTAAACACTTTCGATATAAGAATGGCGGCTATAGCGTGCGAAGAATAGAATGTA